GGAAAAGTATTTGTACACGTTAATCTTATAAAAGACCTTAAGGGCGGTAGGAATGATCATGGGATGAATTCGGACATGACTATTTCTACACTAAAGGATTACTCGGCACATGCCTCTCCATATGCATTCATAACTTGCTTAGTGCAAACTCAATAACTCATCATATGCTTACCCTCTTTTTTTTTTAGAACAACTGATATATTAACAAAAAAAACAACTGATATATTAACACAAAAAGAAACTAAAAAAATACTAGGATAAACATTAAAAAAAATTATATTGAAGAACAACTTGTGATTGATGTCGGTCTAGAGAATTCAATTTAGCTTTTTGCTTAATACATAGGAAATATTTTACTTTTTATTCTTTGTTATTTTTTAAAGATATCATATATTTTTTATTTTTAATATTATTTAAGAATAGTCTGTAAATTAGAGACAATATTTTCATTATATGATTAATTATACAATTAGTATAGTCTACAAAAATAAATAAATAAATAAATAAAATAAGGTATTTGTTACAATAGTCTTGACAATTTTTGAGATTTAGTAAATTTTATAAAAGAATTATTGAAAATGTTAAAGAACATTGATTGCTCTTGTTGTGCATGGTCATCCTTGAGTCTAGTTATTTCAGTTCCCTGTTTATTATGTATAATATGGTATTATAGTTAATTAAGTTACCAAAGGGTTTTTAGCGCAACTGTATCAGGTGGTGTCCTCCCTTTTTGAGATCGAGGTTCAAGTTCTTTCGGACACATAGGTGAAATTAAGTGTTAGTTTAGGAATAAATTAGTAGATTTGTATTTACCGGTTAAAAAAAAAAGCTAATTAAGTTGACCGATCATGGAAGACCTTGAGTAGCTAAAACCATCACAACATTGGGCAAGAACATGGGGTGGCTAACGATAAGACCCTTGAGATATGCATATAAAGCAAGAAAACTTAGTGATCAAACACTTGTGACGATGGTTGCAAGAACTTGAGTTGTTGCATCTAGACTCACTAAGATATATATATATATATATATATATATATATATATATATATATATATATATATATATATATATATATATATATATATATATATATATATATATATATATATATATATATAGAGAGAGAGAGAGAGAGAGAGAGAGAGGTGGGTTCAATTAAGAAAATAAAAAAAGTTGAGAATGGGAGAATAATTCTCAGTCACTCATTTAATTAGCCTCTAAACATAAAAGATACGGTGGCAAACTTGTAAATATGATATAATAACCTTCAATCAAAAATTCGAACAGTTGAAATTCATTCGTTTTTTGCTCTTCCAATCCAACATTCAATTCTATTTGAATACTAACATATCTTCAATATCTATGATTAATTATACTCCCAGCATCATTAGAACAATATCATCGATAATCAACAAAAAATTCAATTCGTATCATTCATTCAACATCGTTCATCAAATAAAACATCGAAATTAAGGTTAGAAAAAGATCAAATCATTTTTAGTTTTAAATTTTCATATATTTCTCCACCAATCTACTATTTTGTAAGATTTAAGTAGTCAAAGTATCATATTTATCATATTTTTAAAAAAGTTAACTTGTATGCACTCCAATTGTTTGATGAAATGCATAAACTAAATTATCACGTTATATTCACATATAAATATGTTTTCTCACTTGAATCATTATGTAATTATTAAAACATATAAAAATTATATATATTTCTGAAAACACATTGTAATATTCATATATGAATATACTGTGCAATATTCACATATGAATATACCAACTATTATTCATAAGTGAATATACGATCTAATATTCACAAGCGAATATACTATGTACTATTCTCATTTTATATACCATGAAATACTATATAATATTCACATATGAAAATATCATATACTATTTATAAGTGAATATACCATCTAACATTCACAAGTGAATATACTATGTAATATTTACAAATAAATGCGTCGTCTAATATTTGAATATGAATATACTATGTTTAGTATATGCTATATTCATATGTGAATGATAATTAAATTGTAAAAAAAAAATTAATCATAATTTTTATTCATAAGTGAATAACGAATGTACTATAATAAAACCAGATTAATTTTTATTCACTTATGAATAACGATAGCTGAAAATATAAAAAAAAATAACTTTTTTATTTTATCTTAAAAAACTATATCATTATGAATGTCTATTTTTTAGAGAATAAAAAATCATTAATTTTGGTATATTTAAAATCATTTTTCGATAAAAATAGTTTATTAAAAATTTAAAAAAAAAACGAAAAAACTATGTTTTTGTATATATTAATGTAATGCTTAACATAGTTTAAGGAAACATGTTTTGTTGGAAAAAACATGTGCATTCCTTTCCCATTTCCGCCGGTACGTTGAAGACTTTTGCGGCAAAATAAATGATTGGCTGGGAATGATTCGCCAATTCTCAACTTTTTTTTTTCTCAATTGAACCCCCCCCCCCCCCCACACACACACACACACACACACACACACACACATATATATATATATATATATATATATATATATATATATATATATATATATATATATATATATATATATAGGTTCAGGTTCATTTGAAACCATGCTAATTTTGTGAGACCGTGAAACCAAATCTAAAAATAATTTTAAAATGCAAAATAAATGAAAAAATCCAAAAATTCTTTTTTTAAATATTATTTTCGGAACTTGAATTAACTAAAAAAAAATAAATAAATAAATAAATCCCGTTATGTTTTTGAAAAATACGTGAAATATTCTAAATAGAATATTACACTCACATATTCTAAAAAATAATTTTAAAATGCAAAATAAATGGAAAAATCTAAAAAAAAAAATTTTAAATATTATTTTCGGAACTTGAATTGACTAAAAAAAAATCCTTTTTTTTTTTGAAAAATACGTGAAATATTCTAAATAGAATATTATACTGTACATATTCTAAAAAGAATCTTAAAATGCAAAATAAATGGAAAAATCAAAAAATTCTTTTTTTTTTAAATATTATTTTCGGAACTTGAATTAACTAAAAATAAATAAAATAAATAAAAAAAATGCGTTTCACGGTCTTATAAAATTAAGCCGTCTGATATGAATCTAACCGTATGTATATATATATATATATATATATATATATATATATATATATATATATATATATATATATATATATATATTCTATTATAAATATTCTATTATAAATATGGTATCTATCATTATAGTTTTAACTATTTTTGAGATTTAATAAACTTTATCAAAGATTTGCATAAATTATTAAAAGCACTAATTGCTATTGAATGTTACACCCGACAATTTAACATAAAATAGATGCAAAAAATATCATAATACGGTGTACATTTAAGTTAAACTACAAGTTCAAGTAGTTATTATAAATTCACGCACATAAAATATGCCCAAGGATAAAAAAACATAAATTACTTCTAATTGCGTTCACTCCATAGGACATTTCCCATTGACGATATTACTAGGTAATATAGAATTCAACATCAATCAAGTGTAAACTTGAAAAGCTTAGTCAGTAACAATTTACTAATTAAATAAACTCTAATTACGACTTAATGATAACAATGACGAAAATAAAATAAAAAATTGAGTAAATTACCCAAATGGTCCCTGTGGTTTAGTGTAAATTACAAGCTTGGTCCCTAACTTATTTTTCTAACTCGGACTATCCTCAACTTTTAATTATGTAACCCGCCTAGTCCCTATTCTCACATTCCGTCAATTGTTTCCGTTAGACACCCCACGTGCCTTGCACGATGGGGGTATAAAAGTCTTTTCACATTTCCAACGATCTTCAAATACTAATTTTTCATCAGGATCGAACCTAATTTAGAGTTTCTTTCAATCCTCCATCGTTTGAAGCGGTTACACCTAATCTCCTTCAAATCAAGGATGGTTCAATGCGATTGTGGGCGTGCTGCTGTAATTCGAACTTCAACTACTAACAATAATCCAGGAAGACCCTTTTACGCATGTCCAATTAAGGTATGTTGTAGTTGAGAATTTTGTAATCGTAACCCTAGATGGGGATATCACTGTATGCGATTATAGGTATTGTAACCGTGGCTTTTGAAATTGACAGGAACCACGTAAAGGATTTATTGCTTGGGTAGATGATGATGAAAAGGATCATGGTGACAGATTGACAATCTCCTGGCTTGTGAGGTTGAACAAGAAGCTGAAAAATGAAAATCTTTTCTTGAAAATATGTTTATTTATTAGTTGGGTATTGTTCTTGGTGATACTTGTTTACAAGTTGTAAGGTGGGGATGAGTTGTTATTGTAATGGTAAAGTCTTCTGTAATGGTTAGGTTGTAGCAATGTATGTGATGGTATCATTATCTGTAATGGTTAGGTTGTAGCAGTGAATGTGAAGGTATCCTTTTCTGTAATGGTTAAGTTGTCTATGTATTGTAATGCAGATGGTTAAGATTTTAAGATCAATGAAAATGGTGTTATGTATTGGTTAGGTTGTCTATGTATTGTAATGCAAATGTACTGTAATGGTTGTAGCAGTGTTGTATTGATTATGTTTTAAAGTGATGTATAAGCAACATATTGACCATTAATTAGTACCAAACTATAACAGGGCAATAAGGGTGACATCATAAGAAGAATATAACAATCTAATTTAGTACCAAACTATTATGGAAAATATAAATGTAAAAATCAATATAAACCAAATTATTATCTACCCAATGGTGTATCATAAGAAGAAAACATTCCATTAATTAGTACCAAACTATTACTGGGCAATGAGGGTGACAAACTAGTTCATCCAAAAGTGCCAACATATTGGCTAAAACAAGTATCAAAATACTGCCCCTATTACAAACTATTCATAAATAATGTACCAAAATATTAGCCCTATTACAAGCAGCAACATAACACAATCCATTCATATTTAAAGTAACAAAAGACTAGCCCTATTACAAACCATCAAGTGGTTGCCTTCCCTTTCCCTTTTCCTTTTACTTGTGATTGTCCACCACCCCCACCAACAATTGGTCTTTGCCCTTTGCAGGTTCTTGCATTGTGACCAACATTGTTACACTTCGTACATGTTACTGATCTATGGGCCCTTGATGCTGTGTTTCCTCTAACAAAGTCCTCCTTTTCCACAATTGATATTGTTCTCTTCTTCTTTGGTCTTCCTATGGGAACACGATGTTTTGGAGGCAACAGAGTTGTTGGTATAGCTGACTTCTCCCACATGGACCTTCCATTGATTGGACTAACCTTAAAAGAATACATCTCTTTCCAGCTTGATAACCAGTAACATGGATGCACAAATGATTCTGGGATTCCCACATCTTTGTCATTCCTCCCCATGTCCCAAATAGCAGCCACACCATGTTTGCACGGAATTCCTGTTAATTCCCACCTTTTGCACGTACAACTTTGTTGACCTACATCCACAATACACTGATCTTGCCATGGTCCAGCAACTTGATATTTTCCAGCACCACAAAATGTTGCAACATACTGTTCTGCCTTACTCTTTATGTTATCCAATATTGTTGTAGCTGTAGGAGTCAAAGGACCTACAACTTTCTGAATTTCCTTGTCAACTTTGACTATCTTCTTCATAATGTACTCTCTGATGAACTCAATGCAGTTAATAATTGGTGCATCACGACCATCTTCTATCTTGCTGTTGAATGCTTCACACATTATTAGTTAGAGCATCACAATGTGCTCTCCCTGAACATAAACAAATTCTATGTCAGTATTCAATTTACCTTCTTTTAAAATTATTAAGTAGAGATCGAAAGTCATTATACCAGTAAAGTGGGAGCGAGCCCAACTTTGAGGAGGTATTTGTTTCAGCCACTCATAAGCATCATTGTTAAGCTTCTTTAGTTTTTCCATTGCTTGATGAAAGTGTTGTACATTAGAGGTCGTGGCACATTCCCAAAGAAGATCCTTGAACACCTTTCCCCTCCAGTTCTTTTTCATGTTGTCGTGTATGTGACGAAGACAATAGCGATGCTCTGCACATGGAAATAGTGTTGCAATCGCAGGCAACAAACCCTAGCAATAGTAACATGTTTGTATGTTAGTATAACTGCATCAATAGTATAAAACTATAAAACCTAGTTTGGATAGGTTCCAATACCTTTTGCCTGTCACTCATAAACGTGAAATTGGAATTTGTTCCCAAACCTAAGTCATCACCCAAATTACTTAAAAACCAAGTCCAAGAATTCAATGTTTCTGATTCAACCACAGCATAGGCTAAAGGATATATCCCATTATTACCATCCAATGCCTTTGATAAGAAACATAAATTACCAGAAAACATTGGTCAGTTAACACTACTTAAAATAAAGAACATACAATACAAAAAGAAATAAGAAGATCTTACCACAGCAGACAAAACTTGGCCTGGATATGGACCTTTCACGAAGGCTCCATCAAGTCCAAGAAAGTCCCTTCTTCCCGCTGCAAAACCTCGCTTCAAAGCTCCAATGCAAACATAGATACGCCTGAATGTTCTTGTCTCAACAGTTGGATTCGCTTCACTTTCAACATCAATTTTAACCGTAGTATCTGGGTTACGTGCTTGTACCTCTAAAACATAATCCCTTAACAACCTGTATTGGCTGGCATAATCTCCTTGAACATGCTTTAAAGCTTGCTGCTTTGCCCTAAAAGTTTTCATATGCGAAATGTCCATCTGGTACTCACGTTGGAGTTGCTCTCGTAAAGCCCTAATAGGAATCTTTGGGTTTGTCTCAATAACTTGTACTATATGCTCTGAAAGGAACTTATAGTCACATGCTTTGACTTTCCTTGTTTGTAGACATCGATGCTCCTTCGTGTATGTCTTAACCATCCAATCTATGTCACGCTTCCACTTACTACAATATATAACCCATGGGCATTTCTCTTCTTCATTAGTAGCAAGATTTGGTATAGTGCCCTTACACACAAACCTAACCCTATTCTTATCATTTTTCTCTAATTGTATTTCCCTTCTTGTCCTTATGGAATGTAGTTTCACTTGTGTCTTAAAGTCCTTAGATGAACTGAAAGTTTGAAAAATGTAGAAGGGCTCACTAACCAAAGCTGCATCATTTTCATAAGCCCTATGTATGGCCCTAATAGTTTTCCTTCGCTTACCATCATTTGCCTCATCTGATGAAGACCCAGACAACAAAACCTCTGTGTTGATCACTTCTAAGTCACCTTGTTGTGTATCTTCAGGTACATTACTTTCAGAAGAACCTCCAACCCATTCTACATCCTTGTCAATGTTCATATGGAAATCTTTCATATCCACATCAACATCGTGTATGAGATTGTCCTCATCAATAAAAAAATCACTATCTTCACTCTCACTATCATCATCAAACTCATCATTTCCACTGCCATTGTTGTGTCCACTACCATCATAATCATCCTCATTCTCTACATTCATTTCAAATTCAATATGGTCGACCAAAGATGGTTCTTTGTCCAAATGACTATCATTCTCAACTTCTGTTAGGTCTGGAACACTCTCATGCTCAATTGGAGAGTCATTCCACTCCAAGAACAACTGTTTGGAGCAAGCTGGTGGCTCTTTAATTTCAACAATTTTAACCTTACTAGGGTTGGGGGACATAGAATAAGTATGTAAATTTGTTTTCCCATGCTCAATATATACATCTATTACCTTATGGTTAGCAACATACGTACCCAGATGATGAACATCCTGATCTGAACCCAAAGCAAATAACCCAAAATCCAAATCGCCAAATGGTCTCAGGAAATGATAATAGAGTAGTGTTTCGTCTGAATCAATATGCCCAAGTTCCTCCATCATCTCGTCAATGTCGTGAATGGAAAAGGTGTCAATGTCTAGTAAATCAACATAATTTTGCTTGCCTTTGATGTACTTTCTTCCAGGGAACTTTGTAAACTGTCCACCATGGTGTAATCGGACAGAGAATATCGTCGGATGTCCGGCTGTATATTCACGGAAAGATTGGTTAGTCACATTTTTCTTTTTAAGTTACTAACTGATTGAGGGAGTAAACACTTACCATATCTACGAGCAACGTGAATCTCGTCCATGGTAGCACGTATCCTCCAAGGCGCCATCGTCGTTTTCAAATGTAGGGTTCTTTCGATCAAGGGTTTTCAAAGGGTTTTCAAAGGTTTTGTCTGTGAAGCTTGTGTCTGATCACGTTGATCAACGATACGTCCTTTTTTTTCTTGGCGGTATAACATTGGATATGTGAAAAGAATTTTATACCCCCAACGTGCAAGGCACGTGGGGTGTCTAACGGAAACAATTGACGGAATGTGAGAATAGGGACGTGGCGGGTTACATAATTAAAAGTTGAGGATAGTCCGAGTTAGAAAAATAAGTTAGGGATCAAGCGTGTAATTTACACTAAACCATAGGGACCATTCGCGTAATTTACTCTAAAAAATTATAGCTTAAACACCAAGTTGTATATTGACTTGTAACATCCACAAGTGACATCAATTTTTACTTGCAACATCCACAAGTATCTTAATGTTGTAACACCAAAGTCTTACAACATCCATATGACTAAAAAGACATCCTACCACCCAATAAGTTATTTAACATCTTTAATAGTAAATTCTTATAATCTGCTTAAGACTTATCAATTTAATTAGAATAAACTTAAAACTCCTTTTAACCCACCAACGATCATTTTGCAATCAGGAAAAGAGTAAATCAACCATAAAAAGTAAAAAGATTACAACCTTTGAAGCCTTTGATTTTCATGTGAGATTGGAAGTTGATGAAGTATTACAGAAAACACTAAAGTAGATGTTCTCTAGAAGTACCCACCAAGCAAGGATTAACTACCAACAAAATTCTTGTCTTCACTTCTATTATGTTCCTCTTATGCCATTAAGACTTATACCAAATAAGCCTTAAGAAGATTCAACTTATAAAAAATTTGTTCAAGCACCAAATTGAAAGAAAGAAGAGAAGGAAATATGACTTGTAAACCACAAAATTCACAACCCTTTAGAGAGGATTTTGTGATGAAAAACTAGCTTATTTCTTCATCAGGTGCATCAAGGAAGGACCATGTCTCATTAATGTTACAGTCATACTTTATAAGAGTGTAAGAAATGAAAGATAAAGTAAAACACTCAAGCTCTCCATCCTCCTTGTCATTCATGGCTTTCATGAGTACAAGTAGGACCATAAAGTGTCTTTCACATAATGCATAACTAGCTAGTTACATACTAACCAAATGGTTACTCAAAGTGCCCATTTAATTTGTACAAAACATATATATTTATGTCATATCAATATAACTAGTTTTGGTTGTATTTTTTTCTTTTATTACCTAGAATCAATAGTTCACGATATGATAGTATACATATTATTTTCATAAAATAATATTTTTCCAATTAAATAAAAACATTAATTATATTTACTAAGAATCAAATTACTTTAATAAATAACTAATTAGTAGTAACTTGCTATAATGTGTGACCCTATAGGATCATATGTGATTAGCAAATATTATTCTATAATAAGTTTTGGTGATAATGATCTTTCAGTCTCCCATTTTCACAAGTGTCATCATAGATCGATATACATAGTGGTGAATGTCTAGCAACATTTCACTGCCTCCAATAACACACAACGAATAATGTCATTCATCAATGTCCACTTCTTAAAAGCTCAAAGATATAATTGATGTAGAAGGAAATTTTATTAGTTATCTCTTTGTTATAGACATCCTGTTGAACATTAGACTAAGATCACAATCAATATAAAATGGTGTTTAACTGTGGGTTTTGTGCATTAGATGTCTAGCTTGCAACACGTAAATGGAAAAAAATCACATCTTGACTAATGAAGCCTCTTGCACAGTTACCACCATACATTATGTATCTCACGTATTAAGGATACAAATATAGTACCTTTTTTTTTTTTTTTTTTTTTTTTTATCAATTATCACTCATGATAGCATTTCATGGGGTGATCTATGGTCATCTTATGAGAGTCAACAATCCAATTCATATTAGTCCTACATCACAATTTTTGTCACAATTATGACTGACTATGAACTTTTATGAAAAATAAAATTATTTATGCGTTTAACATGTTAATATAGAACACAACAGGCATTAATGTGATGATCATATCCAAATAGATGAAAACAATACAATAGTTATTGTTATAATGTTCCAATATCCAAAGACTAAATCCAAATTAAATCCTATTTCTAGAATAACAATGTCTTATAACTCAACCTTGAACCCTCATGTTTAGTTTAAAGCAAATACTATATTAACGTCTCTGACTAAATTTATTTTGTATGAATTCTACTTATCCTTATAACTCAAATTGGACCCTTCATAGAAAGTGTCATACAAACCCACCAAGAGTATGTTTTCTTTATATTAACAAATGGATCTTAATCCTTACATATTTTATAGGATAAATTGGTTTATGAAAACTCCCAAGTTAAGCTATATAGACATCCACAAGTAGGTGTATTTAAAGGAAAGTTGTCTTAATTGAAATCTATTTACCATATCTTATAATCATAATATGCAGTTATGGCAAGTGATATCCTTGTTAATCTAATCATATCTACTTTAGGAAAGGTTTGATTATAATCATTAACATGAGTATGATTAGAACCATTGATAACAAGTCTTGCTAAATGTGTATTGATATCCATATATGTAATCTTTCTATAAGAATTACTTATTGTAGCTTGTCTTGTTATAGGGAGGAAGATTAATTGAGCCCATACTTGATTATTATACATGGATTACATCTCATCTTTCATGACTCTAAGTTATTAATTAGGTTTAAAGTATAATATAGCATTGGTAGTTGATGGATTTTCTAGAAACCATCAATAATAACTCATCATTGGGAGATTACATATTTCTCATGTTATTAGATAATTTCTACTATATATGCAAATAGTTTGTGTTGATGAATATATATTGTGACAACCCGAAATTTCCATTCTTTACAAACAATATCACTTCAATAGAAGTTATAACAGTCATAGTCAATTTTCAGACTTTTCGTATAAGTGGGAGTAATTCAGGGTTTACACTTTAGTAAATATCAGGAGAGTGGATGCACTATGGTTTTGTGCAACACTGTTATTCCAACACTCTGTTATATTAGAAATCTTTTTCAGGAATAAAAATATTTTCTGTCGAAAATATCTCAGGACTATAAATAGAATCTGAACCAAATTCATTCATTATTCGCATTTCCAACTAGAGAAAAGCCATTTGCTCTCTCACGGATCTTTGGGTTTTCGTCCCAAATCGTGAGTACACTTCTCTAGTTGTCTTATAATGCTTATTATGTAGTTATAACATGATTTAGGTGGCTAAATCAGTAGATTTAGGAGTTTACTCCCCAAGGTGTTCTTGGGCGGTAAACTCCCGAAACGAAGCCTAGACTCTCCCCCGTGATATACTACTGCCCGGGACTTGTATAGGAGTGTGTTAGGGACATGAAATCAAGCAAGAACCACCCAAGTTTGGGAGTTCACGACCAAAGAATATCTTAGGCCGTAAACTCCATAATGATGCTCAAATGGTGCTTTTAAGGCACCTAAGGCCTTAGGCTTTCACCTAGACTTGTTCCCAATAAATCAAAGGCCTTAAACACATAAGAATCACCTTGCAAAGTGAGTTTATGGCCATGACATGGGTTATGGGCCGTAAACTCATTAAAGGGGCACCAAAGTGTGTCAAGGGTCTTCATATGCTTGGAATAAAAGCCTAGAACCTATACCACTTGTGCATGAGACTTGAAAACATAAAAACACCCATCCGATGAGAGTTTACAGCCGTAAACTCTAAGGGAATTGGCCTTGGGGCCGTAAACTCCACAAAGGAGTGTTTCTAGGTCTTAAACCCTTCCAAGAATTTAACCACCAAGTTGGAATAATTCTAGGAATCATTTGGAACTTCAAAACACACAATACCCCCATGGTTGGGAGTTCATGGCCGTAAACTCAAGAGTTTACAACCCCTTCAAAACACATATACAAGGTCCTTGGAAACTTTAAACCCCTTTAGCCTTGTTCCACAACAACCTAGAAGCAACCCTTAGGACTTATAACACTTCTACAAAGTGTTTACATGTTCTAGAGTGTCCCAACTTATTTCATTAGTTATTATTTGGCTAATTAGTTATATATATGCTCATTATATTATAACTAGGCTCGTGCGTGTGAACAAGTCTCAGTTTGCCACCTAGCATAGTATCCGACACTTCAATCCAATCCACTCACCACAAGTGAGTTCATACCCCTTTAATTAACCTTTGAAATACTTGTAAATGTTTTAAATGCTTTTATGGGGGGGGGGGGAATACAAGTTAAATACTTATAGTTATTACATCAATCACATGTGATTAATAACTATAAAACCAATGATTTTATTACTGTTCAAACTGTTTATTAAACTGTTTTACTTCAAAGTGCTTTACAAACTCTTTTACTTATCAAATGCTTTTATTTCAAACTTTGTTATAATCCTTATAAAATTACATGCCCATATATGTATAGATATATAAGCAATGTTTAAAGGGCTTAGGAAGGCCATCCACCCTATTTCCTTTTCGCGCTCTAGATGTGGTCTGGTGGGATTTTGGGTAGCCGTCCGAAGGTCGTTTCAATATTAATTATATATCAAGTGTACATATATAGACATAAAAGTACTTCCATATTCATGCGTATTAATTACATCATTAGTAAGTTACCATCGGGGTAACACAGGATCATACTAGTACAATTTCTAGATCAATGTGTCAGTTCATTCATGAGTCAATACTTATTACTATGAGAACATATACATTACATTGCTATGAGTACATATACAACTATACTAGAAAGAGAACATATACAACTATACTAGAAAGAGAACATATAGAACTATACTAGAAGAAGAATAAATACAAGTATACTAGGAAGAGAACATATACAACGATACTAGAACAAGTAACATTACATTACATATACATGAATACTATAACAACTGTGATCCACTGTATCGGAGCATGCCTTAAATGTCATGGCCCGAGTTGTAGCCAGAATTCTCTTGGAGGGAGAGCGTGAGTT